AAAGACTACCAAAGTTGTTTCGGCACGTTCTCTGTCGTCCGCCTCACAAGCTTTGCTGTGCTGCCCTCGATCCGGCGCCGCAGCCCATATGAAGGCGCCGATGAGGTGGGCAACTCAAGATTTGGCTCGACACCGTTTGTCAAGACATGGAAGTGGTTCTTGGGCCTTCAATTTTCGGTCTCCGTCGCTGGAGAAGAGAGTCGGTGGAGCTTTCCAGATCCGCTGCCGCCAATCGTCACGCATGGGGAGCTACCGTACGTGACATCCTTGAAGTCGGCTACATCAGGCCTGATTACAGCCGTAACAAGTACAATTCGGCCGCCGCTAAGGATGTCTATCCTGTACCCCACAGGGATGGTGACTTGTGCAGCATCTGCCGGACTTTCTTTTGCTTGCCTGGATCGAATAACATAAGTAATACAAGCAGACCGAAGAGGATGCAGGCGGCTGGCGCAGCGAGAAGCCGCACATAGGAGGGCCACCATACCAGCTCGGATGTCACTGAATTGGGAGTGCCATAAAAGCAACACTAAGAAGGGGAAGTTATCGCATTTCGACTCTGTCCATCAGTAAACCACTCCGCACAAACGCACACTGGGCTGGCTACAAAGTTTTGGTTGAATTGCCAGCAGGCAACCTTCTGTGTCGCGTCTTTCAGCGCACTGCGGTCGGTGGTAGCTGTTTATGTTTCAATCTGATCTTGAGAGATTTGTATTTGGTACCTCAATCGATATGCCTGTTAATACGTGCCTCCAGGAATTTGCGGCAGGCACCAACGATTTGGGTTTGCTCCTATGCAACTGTGTGTCCTGTGTCCAGTGTGCGCATGGCAACCTGGGATAGGTGGTCCCTACTGCCAACTGGTGTTCATATATGCGGATGGATAGAGATTTCTAATTTCTGCATCACAGCCTCCACCAAAAAGCCGGATACTGCTGACCCTACAGGGATACATTTTTGCTTTCAGTAGTATTTCCCAGCAAAGGAAAAGTTTGTTTCCAGGCAAAGGTCAAGGTATTAAAGCAGGACACCTGCAGGTACATCAGTAACGCAGACCTGTACGAATTCCGCCATATAGGTTCTTGCCAAGCTCAGAGACCTGCATGTGAATACAACCCACACGACCATTTTCCCACGACATGTGCCGGGCTGCTTGGATCCCACATAGGTGAAGGCATTGTAAGGGCCGTATTAAGGAGCAGCCAACTCTCAAGCTCGAGAACAACTGAGTTTTCTCGTCGATGGACAACCCTCCCAGTCAGGACTGTTAGGGCGTCATGGGACCTTTGTTTTTGAGGAGTATGTTAGTGTGCCGTGAGGATGGACTCCTGTTTCGATATCCCTACACGCTTCTTCCTCCGCATGTACCAGTCCTCGGATCAGACTTGTCAACCACCGGGTGCAATGACTAATGCGGCGTAAAGGTCTTCGTCTAGGACATACCACCGCACTTGCATGCATGTGAGTATTTATGGACCTGACGCGGTCCGAAAAACCCAACCGCCGTTCTGGTGCAGTGCATCTGCCGATGAAGGCAAAGGCGAAACGTGAAGCAGAGCAGTTAAAATAAAATGCCTACCTCCAATGGTTAAGTAAGCTATTGTTGTTAGTAGAACAACGCACAACTTCAGTAGCCCTATTTTTCGCCAATTTTTCGAGAA